AAAAATATAAAATGACAGCATTATGTGCTTAAATAAAAAAGCGAGCCTCAAATTTTGGTTTATTGAATATGCTCAAACAATCAAAATCAATAAAAAAGAACACACAGGCACATGTTTCAATAGGCTAGAAACACTCAAAATCAATAAAAAAAAAGGTGATTAAAACACAGTAAATAGTAGCACATGTCTCTTATGGAAACAACTCTATAAAAAAGGAACAAATATGACACACATGAAGCACTAACTACCTTATGCCAATACATCCATGATTATTTGTGAGAACAAGGACTATGATTATTTTTGATAAATCCACTTCACTGTTACAAATCCTATCTGAAGCAATACTTGATTGTCATTTAGATTTGGTTTTGTTCTATTCAAAGGCTTTAATGCTATTTGGCACAATTCCTTTCTATATGGTCCCTTTTTTTTTTTTTTTACAAATTACAGCGATGCCTTCTAAGCTCTGATTGCTCATCTTCCTCTGTCTTCATCACAAGTCTGCCAGCAGGAGAATCATCAGATAATCGTCAATCTTTATCATAAGAAATGCAGCAACAAATTGTTTAATTAGTAAAGAGAAACTAGTCTGCTTTTCTCCTACATTGTTAATCAATTACTTTTTACATTTAGCTATATGTTGGCCATGTCATTCATTAAGGAAATAACATCCTCAATTTGGTGCAGAATGAGAAACAAAGAAACATTCTATATTAGAATATAATTAATCAACTGAGTTCTTACAAGTTGGCAGTGGCAAATACATCATCATATACAAGTAGAGTGAAACTAAAAACAAAGGGAATCGAGATATGCAAAAGAGGAAATGCTGACAGAAGCAAGAATAGATCATATGAAAGGGCTAAAGACCCAAAACAGCTCTTCAATCAAGTAGACATGCAATTCCAACAGAACAGTTGAACAAACCATCACAGGAATGAGACAATTTAACACATTCCTCTTTAGAACGGTAGAAAAAGGAACAATTGATAGCTGTTCCAGACTTTCCTTAATTAAATAATTGAGGACTATTTAGACTTCTGGTAGTGTCCGACTAGATCCAAAAAACTGCACAAGGCCTCAGTTAGCCTCTCAATGCATCCTTGTCTGGGTTGTATAATTGGTGTTATCAACAAGAAATTATAGTTCACAACTGGTGAACTGAAGCACTGAAGACATGAAATTTTTTTTAACCACCCTGATCAACATATAACTTTAGCAAAAAGATCCACTTAGGATTATCAAATGATGTCTATTTTTATCAAAAAGTAAAACCCGTGAATTTTGGAAAGTAATCACATGACTCGGAGGTTGGCTAATCACTTTCATATGTCTTGATCAACTACAATTAAAGACATCAATCACCTTGAACTTCACATTATATAACCAAAAGCTTCGTATCATCATCTACTCTGAGCATTTTGCCTTTATAAAAAAGCAAAAAAGAAAACAAGCTTGATCATATTTAATGCTAATGTTGACCCGATTTCAATTACTGTGATAGAAATCAGTTGCAGCCAACAAACAGGATAAGAAAAAATGATGGAAAAAATTAATAAAAAATATAACAAGAATAAGAGAGAAGGGGATAAATGCTTCATTTCACTCTAAGAACTGATCTACCATTCCAAACCTGCCAAAGATAGATGATTAGTGAAGCTTAACTGGATAAATTGCCAAAGAAAGAGATGATCCGTAAATTTGTCCTACTTTAATATAAAATCCATAAAGGAAACCAGAGCAGTTAAGCAATTGTCATAGTTTAGTTAACTTAAAACACCACAATCCAGAGGGCAAGCTTTGTTACCACAATCCAAAGGGAAAGCTATATTACCGCAATCCTTTGAGACTTGGATGATCAAAGTTCGTGTCAAGAAGAAAACAATTTTTTGCTCGCAGGGACAAGGTTGCATACATTGACCTTCCTGAAACCCCGCATTTGCAGGGAGCCTAGTACATTAGGTTGCCCTTATTTTCTTGAGGACCACACATAAAATGCCAACAAGCAGAACACAGAAAAAATAGAAACGTAACAACGAGTCAGCTATTATGTGCTCTTCACTGCGTTGCAATAAAACAAATCTCAAAAAGGGAAAAAAAAAACCATAATTAGTTGACAAAGTACCGAAAGAAAAAAGTTTCAAGGTGTTTCAAGAATTCAAAGCCCTTGTTTGGATGACAACAGAGCCATTAACTTCCTTCAAATAACAACTAAAGATAAATATAATGACAGAAATTCCTGCAACATACCAAAAATGACTCAAAGACCAATAACCTGCTACACAAATTGGTTGACTACCATATCAATTAATTCAGGATAACATATCACAAAAACCCAAATAATTTCAGTTCTCATCAATATGCAGCAGGATGTATGTTAGACATAACCAAGCCATGGATTTCATTTCAGTAGTTGCTGCCACGAGTTTGAATAGCTTCATATGTCAGTTTTCAGTTAAATCAGTAAATCAGCCATTACATAGATGACTTTTATCCAAAGCTAAGATCAGTACTCTGCGTCTAAGCATCTTCTGGACTTAATTTAAATGTCTTCTCCCCTCTTCCTCTTCTATTAAATCTCAAGTGACATGTGATTTGTGTACAGGATCAACCGGAAGCCAGTGCTTTTACTTAGATTTTTTGGTGGTCACAAAAGTATCCAACGGTGAAGCCGTCGTTACTTAAGTAGCTTTCACCCAATTCCACACAATAAAAAGATTGTCTTATGGACACATATTCACTATGTAAGTTTCGAATTTATGAAATTACCAAATTTCTAGTTTGATGGTGAACATGTTAAGAGTCCTTCCCCAGATTCCATGGCATCTCGAATGCAGAGCTTGTGTAAGCACATCTCCTGTGCTCTAATCTAAAAGCAATTAGATGCTGTACTAATTAAGGCATGCCTTGAAGAGTAGGTTGCATGCCGCCATCACTTTTATCATGCAGCTCAGAGCAACACTACGATAAAGATCTTCAGGGATAAAATGGCATGCAACAAACTATTTAGCAAAAGCTAGTCCTTGGACAGGAAAAGGCGCGTCTTTAGCCAGAAACTAAAAACCATTCATGTTTCTGACAGCGCACCTTGCAGGAATGCCACTAAGCACCTACTTCAACAAGTATAATTCTAAATACAGACTAAGCATAAAGACCATCAAATCCATACTTGGACAGCACTATATCCAGAGATAAACCACCACTCAGCAAATATACGAGTACCAAACCCTAGGTCGAGCTAAAACAGGGACACGAAGCAAAGCAAGAAGAATTACCAAAAAGGAAGCAACCACGACCACCAATTTGACCATGCTCATACCAAATACCCTTTCAAAACCCTAATTCAAACGCATACCTGCTCCAGAAAGCACGGAAACCCTAGAATGCACACCACACAATCATGAACACACACACACACACACACAACAACAACAATTACGTGAGCTCCCCAGTGCAGCTGAAACCAGAGGACAAGAAATTAGGGCAGGGGGAACCGAACACGAAGGGATTCCTTGGAACCGGACCTTCTTTTTCCACCCGGTGGGCGCCGGGAGCTCGACGGAGACGACCTCCGCGTCGTCCCTCGCCTTCTCTGGCGGCGACCCCTTCTCGGCGCTCGCCCCTCCGCCCTCCTCCGCCGTCATCGCCCTCTCCTTTTCGCGCTGCCTCGACTTCCCGCTCTCGGATGCGCCAACGAATCAGCACGAAACCAAGCGAAGAAAACGAGCAGAATAGTTCCTCCGTCTCGAGGCCGCAAAAGCGAAACACCACACCGTCAACGGCGTCGGGTAAACGGCGGAACTCGAAGTGAATCCTGCGTCGGATTGAAACATGGGCTCTCGCGTCCGAGATTACCGACTCCGGATCCCCTGTGTGGTACCGTTCGCAACCATTCTGTGTCATCGCCTTCCGTCGATCGGATTCGGTGGGACCCAGTAGCGCTCCGCGGTCACCCATCAGATAAAGATATAATCTTGAGATGGGGTTCAGACAGGGGATTCACAGCACGGGCAGATTTTGATGCGCGCCACCGCTGTGGGGGTTGGGCTCGGGGAACGTGGCGGACTGCGATTGGCGAGAGGTGAGAGGATAGAGCAGACAAGTGAATCTCAGGAGTGGCACGTGTGGCGTCGACGAGGTTTGACGGCGTTTATCAAACCTCGTTTATGGTTGAGGATGTGAGCGGGGCGGAAGTTGACAGCGACGCGTGGCGTGGTGGTATCGCCTCGGCATATGCGTTCTCTCGGTTCAAATCTTATCCACTCCCACACGAGTTAGAAGAGCTTGCAATGTTGGATTAATTTAATATTTCTTTTACACATATTTTTCTATGTAAGTGACTTTTCTTACTTGTCCTGTAAATTTAAATTTAATTATTCTTTACTATTATTTTGTAATTATTAAAAATATAATTGACATCAATAATCTTGATTTTAGAACTAAATTAATCTTCACAATTCCACATATATTTTTCTATGTAAGTGACTTTTCTTACTTGTCCTGTAAATTTAAATTTAATTATTCTTTACTATTATTTTGTAATTATTAAAAATCTAATTGACATCAATAATCTTGATTTTAGTACTAAATTAATCTTCATAATTCCACATATATTTTTCTATGTAAGTGACTTTCTTACTTGTCCTGTAAATTTAAATTTAATTATTCTTTACTATTATTTAGTAATTATTAAAAATCTAATTGACATCAATAATCTTGATTTTAGTACTAAATTAATCTTCACAATTCCACACCCTTCCAATAGAGTGAATACACCAATAAAACAAACATAACTACATATATACAGACAAACACCTAAGTTAATTAGGTTATACTACACATGCATGCAGAATTATAAACCGAAATAATATGATGTTTATCAGCAAAGCTAACACCTTCAAATTGAAAAAAAAAATAAATTATTTGATAATTTCTCTGTCTATAAAATTCTATGGATGATCACCGAACCATCAAGAATAATCCATGCAAGTTCAAAAATGATTGGTAAAAATCTTAGTGTGCATTGGCTACTAGCTTACTTCATTAATATACAGGAAGACCAACAAGTTGAAACAAAGCATTCAACACAAACTTCACAATGTACCAATGCAAACAGACACAACAAAGTCCCTATAGTTAGTTGAGGTCAAGAGAGAAGCACACTATTTAATGTTTCTCTATTTTCCGCCATCCATCCAACTCAGATAAGCACATAATTACCTAACACTGGAGATCGATCTTATACAACCAGAACTGCAGGTGCTGTTGAAATTGCTCCTGCTGGTTTGACTGGCCATGACAACTCAGGAACAGACTCTGTTGATGAGGATAGAGTAGCCAAACCGAGCTCACTGGACAACTCTGTGTAATGGAACTCGATCTGAAGGCGGCGATGCAAGGGAGTGGAAGATATCCGCCCTTTCTTGATGTCGGCTTCGAGCTCCCTGATTGGAATTGCCGCAAGGAAGCTCTTGATGTACTCCTTGCATGCCTCCTTTCCCCTGCACACAAGATCCCCCTCCACAACAACATTTCCTTTTTCCAGGTCCAAACTCCCAGCAACACCATTTCCTGCTGCTGCGGCCTCACTGTCAACATTCTTGCTCCCACTAGAAACCTTGTGAATGGCCGTGCTATCATCAAACTTTAGGATGTAAGCCTGCTGGCACCCCTCGTACAGCCGCTCACCAAGCGTGTCTATTATGTAGCAAGCATGGTGTTCAACCATGAGGACAAAGAAGTGGTCATTCCAGCTTACTATGTATAGCTGAGGACAGCATCCATCGCTTGGGCAGTCTAAGCCAATTCGGCTAATCTCATCCCAGATGCTGTCAAACGACATGGCTCCATGTAAGAAATCGAAGCCACTGTTGCTGGCGGGGCCTTCAGGATGGAAGAATCCAATGAAAGATTTCCTTGGAACAACAGAAAGTGGTCGAATCTTGGCTTGAAGAACTGTCTCAAGGTCAAAGTGCTTGTCAGGGAAACATTCACGATATGCCTGATTGTCGCAAAGGTTTCTCCACTCGAGGGAGCCTTCTCGGATGAGGCTATCAAACTGGGACTTGATAGGCATCATGTCTTTGTTCCTATGAAACCAGTCAGCAATGACAGCAACAAGAGCCGTGCATGCACTTTCACCAGAGGCTCGCTCGCTCCTCTGGTCAATGGATGCAAAGAAAACCTGAGTGGCAAGCTTCATTTGCCCATCACGGCTAACTAGTTCCTTTGATTCCCAACTGCCTATGACAAAGTAGTCATCACCAAAATCAGATAGTGATGATCGGTTCATAGCACTATCGTCATACCATTTGTGCCTCTGCAAGAAAATCATGCAAACATTCTCAATTTCCCTCCCAAATAGGCTATATAATCAACATAAAGAAAACATGGATAAAGACATTTTTTTGTCAAAATTCTGTAAATATTTGATTATCTTTACTGCATGTAGGAGAAACCTACTAGCCAATTATGACTGTCAGACAATCTAAAAACCGAGAACAGGACCAGGAAAGGGAAGGCTGCACATTATCATATGGTTAACCCTGTAAGGCTTGTTCAGTTATCAATAGCTGGAAACATCAACCCATACAAAAATAAAAAAATAATAACAATGCATTCTATATATCAATCTAAATAGCTTTATAAAAAATAAACTAGCAGAAGCAGTAAGCAAGAGAAGCATACGCCAGCAGAAAGTGATTCATCAGAGGAACTCAGCAGCCGCCGGTCATAGTCAATGTCATCACCTCCTTCTTCATATGCTTTCTTTAGCAACGGCTCCCCTTTGGGCTTGGGAGATCTGAAACTCAGCTTCCTCTTTTTCCATGGGAGGATACTTCTCTTAGACAGGGAAAATTCAGGAACGGATGCAATTGTATCCTCTGCATGTGAACAACCTACATCTGATCTTCGATGATTGTAATAGATACAATCCTCATGGTCCCCATCTTCCCTCATCTCATAGCCAATATTGTTAACAGATGCTAATGTACCATAACTGAATGACTTTCTTACATTGGTATCCTCTTTGCTTTCTTCTACTTCTTCATCAAGTTCATCATCTGGGGAGTCTGTATCACACGGATAAGGGAATTCTGCATCATCACTCCTAGTAGAGCACTTCCCCTCACTACCAGCATCATCTTGGCATGTCTTTTTAGATTTACGAGTTGACACAAGCTCGGTCAAGATTTTCACCTTTCTTAATCCAGCTTTAAGAGCAGAAAGCTCATCTTTCTCAGGAGGAATAACATCCCCAGAGAAGGGTGACGAGGGTGCAGCCGGTGACCTCTGTATCATATCAGAAGAATCTTGTGAAGGTCTCAGTTCTAATATATTGAGAGCCAGCTGCAAAATAAACAGCTTCACATGTCACATTCTAGAATTTTGTAAAAATTCTTCTAACGTGGTTCAGCGATGAACACAGAGAACATAGGGGAAGAGTAAAGGGCAGAGCAGAAAAGTTAGTTGAAAATGGGCTTGGGGAGGAAGATGTTCCATGAAAATGAATCTTGAATGGGATATTCAAAAGCATCATCATTTCCTAAAACCATAGTTATCCACATTAAGTAGAACTAGTAGACTCGAAAATCAAAATCTAAGGTGTCTTAACATACATGAAGCGCCAAGTGAGACTCGACGGCACCAGGAAGCAACAATGGAAGGTAGAGCTCAATCTCCTGATCAGCAGTAGATGTGAATTCTGCTATGTTCACTGAAGCCACTCCAAGAACAGATTCCTTGTTCTTGGCACCATGGTTTGAGCCCTAGATCAGATGGAAATCAGTTTAGCTCCACCATACTTAATTTGATCAAATTTATAACAGATAGACTTTCACAAAAAAAGGAAAATCATAAAATTTCACAAAACAGATGGAAAAATAAAACACATAATAATTTGACAAGTAAAACAGGTCTATATGCCAAAAGGTAAAATAACTAAACATGTCCCTTCCAAATTGGTAATAATGACGCAGAGCAGATCTGGACATAAGCTGACTTATTTATTTTCCAAAGTGACTTGATTGAAGTTATATATGGAAGATTGCAAAGCTTCAAATTATGATGTTCAATATTAATTATTAAGCAATTAAGCATATCATTGCTCTACAGCAGCACATCTTACAAATCATTAAGTTAAGAATCATTGCCAATGATTTTATATATGCCAAACAACAATGTTTTTCATTTTAGAAATGGCTTTCTCATTAACAACAAAAGCTATGTGCCACAACTCGAGCTTGATAGGTTAACTGGCTCATCAACTTAATTTTACCTAAATCATTGGTCAAAATGCTTAAGTTAAAGTTGTTGATAATACACTTACTATTACAAATCAATCTTAATCTTCTCCACTTCTGATATGAGACTAATCGAGGTGTTATAATTTTTCTCACTCAAGAGCTTAACATTCTCGTCAAGACCCAACATAACCTAGATCAAATCTTAGCATGGTGCATGTGAAACATAGTTGGTCGGCTCTGATACCAAATATTATGACCTGAGCTTAATAGGTTAATTGGCCCATCAATTTTGTTTGACCTAAATCATTAGTCAAAATGTCTATGCTAAAATTGATATTAATATACTCATTAGACCCTTATAGGTTAATTTTAATCTTATCCACTTCCGATATGGAAGTAATCGAGGTGTTACACTATGAAGAATAAGTTAGTGTCAAAGGCAGCTATTAGGCGATGTTAAAAGTTAATTAAAGAAAGTTACTTTTTTTTTTTGACAAAGCAACTCTTTAGATGTAAAGAACCAAATTACCATTAGAAATCAAACAACCGTTAAAATTTGAGAAAGACATTTATAAAAAAAGACCAATATTTAGCGATCAATAATTTATAAATATAAAAGCAATACAAAATGTTTCTCGTTTTCATTCATGAAAATATGGAAAGAAAGGAAAAGGAGTAAGATGAGTACTGAAAGAAGGAAAAAATCTTTTAAAAACTGAAAGAAAGAAAAAAGAAGAATAACAAATTATGAGTGTGAAACACTCGACAGAAAATGACATCCTGGTTAAAAACAAAAATGAATTTACAAATAATATAACTAATTCACAGCGAAGGATGCCATCCGATACGGGATATTCAAAAGGCATACATAGGAGAAGATACAACTTGACCAACCTCTAACTCGCGTTCAAAGAATCGGTATATCTTTCTAGATTTCGAGATAAGAAAACAAACTTCACCACAAAACCCCTAAAACAAATATCAAAAACACATTTTTGATCAGCCTAAACGAAAACCGTGAAGAGAATTCGAAACGTTCGACATCAATTTCGACAAGTATAGTCTAAATGAATTAGCCCAATAATGAAGATTGTCGAGAACGAAACTGGGACCCTGGTATTGGTAAATGCCCTAATGAAACACCAAATCGCCAAGATTCGGCACAAGAAAACAAAAGTAGGATGAGAACAGAACAAGCAAATCAAGCAGCATTTCAGATGAGAAAACAACAACGGAATCTGGGCCGATTTGGACTCACATTGAAGACGGCAAATACGATCTCCCATGGATGGAACGCGTTTCTCCTATGCGCCGTCAGGGTACAAACCATCTCAAATTCCTCATTCCACGCTACCACACCCCCATCGCCCACCTCCTCCTCCCTCGTCCGGTTCCTCTTCACCGTCCTCCTCAACGAGCTCAGCGCCACCTTCGGCCCCTTCCACCTCACCTCCGCAGCCACCTTCCTCCGCACCTCCTCCGCCGCCTCATCCCCAGCACTGACCCCTTCGACCCTCCGAACCACCAGCCTCACCTGAAACTTCTTTGACACCAGCGGCGGCCACGGCCGCCACCGCATCATCGTCACCGCCATCCCTGCAGCCGATCCAACCGCTGCAGAGCCCACAACTTAGCACAGCCACGGGAAGCCAAATCTCGACGTCCAGGCACCAAAACACCTTCGGATCGCCAAATCTCCACCAAAAGGAGCTCAAAGACCACGAGAAAAACCGCGCCTTGGTATCAAAATCGACGCAGGGGTCGAAGGATCAACAAGTATGGGAGAAAAGGAGGGTTTTTGACGGAGATTAGGCGAGAGATTGAAGAAATGGGGGAGAGAACAGAGCAGAAGCGCAACGCATATACGAACCTTGACGTGGATGTGGATATATATATATATATATTTATATATATGAACAGATGAGGGGAGTTCTTCGAGGCCACTGCCGGCGTTACTCTGTCGTTAGCAATATAATATATATTCCCGATAAAGCTGGTACGACGGTTCTCGGGCTTAACGGTGACGGAATCATCATACAATTACCAAACTAACCTTCCTGATTGCAGAGAATTCACTTGAAATGCACTCAATAAGAGAGGGGAAAAACACACCATCTATTTAATTAACCTAAAAAATATTTATAAAGAAGAATAGATGTAATATTATAAAATAACTTTTTTCTTTTTTGCAGTATTAACATGACTATATAAATCCTATGATATAATACAAGTTATACTATAATTATAATTATTGATTATATCTAATTGCAGTCCACCATGTTTATCCTGATAAACTTAGGTAACTGAGGGGTAATTTTGGAAGGGAAAAAATAATAATTGTAATTTTGATCAGATGTGACAGCTGGACAAGAGTAATTAGAAGATCCAAGAGATATTATTTGATTTTGTTGGTGGGGTTTTAATATAATATTTTGGATTTAGAACATATTCTAGTTAAGCCAATTCCTAGTTGAGCATCTTTCATGTGGATAAGTTCTTCATCATTAATCCAATAAAACATTCATGAACAGGATCTTGTGGATGTGAATCTTCTCTTGATACACTGTCCACTTATATATGTGTATGAAGGTAAAATATTGAAGTCCAATAAATTTGCATGAATGTCACCCAACTAAAAGCTCAGGATTCCCAGACTTGTTTCTCCGCATTTGTTGTTGTGTGCCAATTCAACTCAACTGTATGAACTTATATGTTGACACAACCGATATTTGAGGGTTTCAAGTCAAGGTTGCCTCTTTTGTTTTCTTTTTCTTTTCTGTGTTTTCTTTACAGTAATCTTATATTTTTCATATCAGAAAGCCTCAATCTTGATCATCTTCATGTGATCCTATTACACAATTCTTGTGTACTTTGTACTCTCTTCTCTCTTCTTCATCTCCTCCATGTGATCTCCATTTCTTGATGTTTCATTGTAATATATTTATATGAGACAGCAAGAGAGAGAAATCATGGCTTCTTCTATATTTTTACATCTATCAAGAAATGAATCACATCATTGCAGTAATTCCTTTTGTACCTACCTTTAATTAGCTAGGCTTGTATTTGAGTGTTCTGATACAAGAGAAGGATGAACAAGATTCTATTGCTTCTCTGTAGCATGTATGATGATATGATTTTTTCCTTTGGATGATTGGTTTCCTAGTAAAGTGGAACATATGGAGATCTATTATTCCTTGAGTCCTTTCATGACACATCTAATCTGCAACAAAAGGTTGAAAACTTGTGCTTTCCTTTTTTTCTTCCACCAGTGGAAGTGACAGACAAGATCATTCATTTAGTCTTCTTTTGTCAGTGCTGTTGGGTTGCCATTACATGAGATTTGGTCTCATTTTCTTAAAGTCAAGCTCAGACACCATGCTTGATCATATAAAAGCTGGATATCAGGAGAGTAAGAAATCAGATATTTATGTGAATCTCAACCTTGGTTTTCTTTAGAGTGAAAAATGATCTCAATATCCTTCATAAGTTTATGAAACTTGAGTCTGAACAATGAGCAAAGGCAGTGGAACTACATTCAGACAAGTGCCTTTCTTTAGAAGCTAAATGTGTCATCAATCTCAACTTGTTTCATTCTGTGCTTCTGCATTCAGTTCCCTTCATACCATTGCTGTTTGCTTCTTGCTTTTCTTACAACTTATTTGGTTCTAGTCTCATGCAATACCAAACAAGCAGACAAAATGCTTACAGATTCCACACCCACACCCACATGTTTTGGCACTTTGCTTTCTGACATCATGACCACAAGGGAAGCACATCCTCTGAGATGTGTTGAGTCATTGGCTTTCTGGCCCTCAAAGTTGGTCTCCACACATTCCAAAGAGAAGCCCTCATTTTGCTGGTGTTGACAAGGTAGATATATATGCTCACATGTGGTGAGGGGTGACATGTTGTGTTCCTTGAAATGGCTTGCATTTTAGCCTTGGCAGTGGAACTTGCTTTGCTTGAAATCAAAGATCTCTTGTATTTTCTCTCAGCACCTAAACCATCATCAGACTGAATAATGAGATTTGGTCAAGGCTGAGAACCAAGAAATGAAAAGCTAATAATTATTTCCAAAGGAAATGTTATCATTCACTTGTCAGCATCATTCAATTTCCTTATCTTCCAGTCCCTACTTGGGCATTGGAAGATGAACAACTGAAAACCTCATTGAGTGATTCATGAATTCTAGGACCACAGTGAGAGTGATTCTTACCATGAATGTTCATCATGTTTAAGTGCTATATTAGGTTGAGTTTGGAGGAAACACTTTAAAGTTCACCTACCACATCTTGATTTCTTTACAACAGAGTAAAAAAGGATGATGGAGTAAGGCAGGTGATGACTCCTTGTTGGATGGTGATCTGTAAGATAATTCGGTACAGATCTTTTGTGAACAAGGTCTCACTCAATGACAGGTTCCAGCATCCATCAACCGAGAAAGGAAGGAACATGTCATAGTTACTCAAGAACCAATCTTTCTGGCAAAAGATTGCTGAAAGAATTGAATGAGGCAGGGGATTCTTCTTAGGTTGTTTCAAAATCTTACCATAAATTCCACTTGTCTGAAAGGAAATCAGTAGGCCTACATTTGCAGTTCAGTTATCAGTCCTAAATCAGAGAGTAGTCAGCTGCATTTTTCTTGGGCAAAGTTTTGTTCATTGATGATGATTAAAGAAATGTTAAAAATATGAAAAGAGGCCACTTTGTGAATCCAAGTTGAACAGCCAAGATCACAAGCAACACAAGGAAACAAAATCTTTTGGAGAACCTAATGCCTGTTTGAGCTCTTGGCCTTGGCAGGATCTTAATGGCATAGGTTTGGCCACTGACCTCAGCTCTTCCACAGATGTGACACAAAACACCAACAAACGACAGTGGATTCAATCAATCACCGACCATTTGTCCTTGGCTGTGACTTGTTCTTTTTGATCCACTTCGAGGCCAAGAAGACAAAAGGAAAGGTTTCCCAGCTGCAGCCATCATCACTTGGCTTTATCTCCAATGGTTGCTGATTCCATCCCTTGTTGTGAGCTTGACAGTTGTTTAATGATAATGACAAGGATAAAGATGTGGTGGTTTAGTGAGTGCAACAGTTTTGACACACTTTCTTGTTCTAATCTTCTGCCCTTCGATGTGATATCCAAGAAATATGAAATGCAGACCAAATGCTCCAATGAGTCACTTGGCATCTGCCTCTCTTGCATTCTACTTTGATTTGAAGGTAATTCATCCGAGTGTGGATGATGCCAAACATCATTGCACACTGGCTGACCACTTGTAATGTCAGCTTCGTCTTCTGGTATAACATATTATATTCGTGTGATCTGGTGTCATGTATTGGCACCAAATCACACCAATTTGGTTGCAGAGCAAGAATGATTGTTGTCACCTGTTCGACTAGTCTCAGAAGTGAGCTCGTGAGAATAAATGTTTGATTTGCCAATGATAGGATGATTCCTGGAAGAACACTTGGCCGACATTTATCGAACATGGAAGCCACCATCTTAAAAAAGCAACACCTGCTTAGCAAGGCATCCACCCAACCTTCATATGCTGCTTTTGGAGATTAGACAATGCCATCACACTACCTAAAAATGAAATCTTGAACATTGGTTTGTGGCCAAGAGGTCACGCAAAAGCTCCTTTGTCAAAAAGAAAATGGCAAGGGACCCAGAGCTTAGAGCAGAGCTGAGCCTCCAGAACGAGGAGGGGGATGAGAGCTAGTGGGAGAAATTATGGCTCCATTTTTGATGCCTCACCTGAGTGAGGGACATGATGACAGGATGAGGGTGAGGAGATTGGAGGTCCACACACCCTGTGGCCTTTGTGACTGATGGATCCTTCTCCTTTTTGATCTCCACTATGTCACAGGTCCCCAAGTTCATCTCATGGATGTGCCATGAGAAGAAAGCATCCTGTTCTATCCTTGGGGAGAGGATTCTGTCATCACATGGCCGAAAGGGATGGAATGCTCCTTACTCCAGTGATTGATGTGCTTCAAAATCTTTCCCCTGGAAGTGACCGATACATTGCATTAGCTGATTAATTATAGTTCTTCCAAGACAGTGAATCGAGAGAAGAAGATTGCTGCAACTATCTATCGAGCTTGATTGTTTATTTGATGGCATATACGATGAAAGAAATGTCAGATTCCAGCTGCTAATGTGCTGTCCACTTCAGGGATCAAAACAGGAGCTTGATTACACCAACCAACCACTATACTGTCACCCACTGCAGATCATCATAAATGAGTTGGAGCAGTTTAATGACCTAAATAAGACAGTCTAATGCTTGCTTGAATGCGAGTTTAGCAAGTGTCGATATACACAATCTTACTCACTCGGTTTTAATCGAATGAACAATTTCTCCTCGGATCCAAGTGAATGCCAAGCAGTCCTCAAAATGTGGGGATGCTGAGAGCACTACAGAGTGGGACATGGTTGAGTCCAAACCTGAGGTCCAGATGTTTCCCACCAAGATCTCTCAACATGATCCAAGTGGATTAGGTTTGCCTGATGCGTGCAGACCAACTGCAATGTTCACCTACTTGTCAGCAGCTGATCTTTGCAGAAACCTCGAGCCCTGTCCTCTGCCAAGATTCACCTTTGTACTGGCTCCATTCTTCCTCCGATTCCATGTTCATCATTCATGGCTTCCTGCTGGCCATTATGTTGGTGGTGGGAGCTCTCATTTTCAAGCTACAAGCAAAGCGACAATAAGGAGGGTGACGGTGCAACCTAAGGATGAAGAATCATGAAAGTTCATTGGCAAGAGATGGAGATGCTGAATTAGGAATTCAGTCACTTATATATCACTGCAAGCTCATACAATGATCCCATCGAAGAAGTTTATAGACAGCACAGACCATTGAATCTGATCCAAAGTTCATTCGAGCAACTTCAAGAAAAGTTGCTCAAGCAAATGGCTTGTGAGCTGTGTGGCTTTGTGTCTGCAAACCGATGGCCTTTGGCGGCGAGGTTGCATCACCTTCGGCATGTTGCCATTCTACTTGGTGACTGTGGATGGAGTTGGCTCCACTGGACAACCACTACAATTCTCACAGCAAGATTGTCAAAGTTCAGAAACTACTGCTTTGAGTGGCCATATCCACCTTCAGAGGAAGAGAACTCCACTTGATTGGCCCATCACCGAGTCAATAAAAACCTAAGGGTGAGGGTTTTCCATGAATCTAGGTTTTAGGCTTTATTCAAATGCAATACTGGAACTACTCTCTTGGACACTTGTAGCCCTTTGCCATGATCAAATCAACCTTACCTCATGGAAAGAAAGGGACAAGTCTTTGGGATGCAAACTCTGTAGACCATTCTACTATAGATCTTGCACCCGGTGCTTTGTCCTCATCTTCCCAGTCTTCTATGTTGTCACCAAACCATCGTGAAGCTTTATGTGGGCACAGGAAAAGTTTACATTTATCTGTATGCATCTACATTGGTCATGAATGATTCTAAGATGAAGATGATAACACTCGCTAGATAACCAGTGATTTGTTCTCAGAAAGGGGAAGAGACCAGTGATTTGATGAGTTGTGATGACATTAGAGAAGATAACCTCACAAAAGGAATCCAAAACAAAATTGCTAATCACAATGTAAAGGAGATAACCTCAGCTTTGATGGACTTGACTGAGGATGACTAGATACAATTACTTGTGAGTGCTTTGAGCATTACTCATCACAAAGTACTTGGATGGAACACTTCATGGATGACTTTAGCATGCGGCAACTATCGATTGGATGATTTCGATCGATAGTCGAAGTCATTGATGATGATGATTTTGAGGTAGTCGACGAGAATCGACATGTCGATTGGTTTTAATTTCTTATATTGTAGTCTTAAAAATGCTACAATGAGGAGCAAAATCTAGGAATGGCATCACTCTAGGAAGGATTGGCTTTGTATATGGATGCTTCGGTTTTAGTAAATTGATCACAATTTATGATCGGATACTGACGAAGAATTTTCTGAAAGAATTTAACTGTGAAATCTCTCATAATTATTGTTAGCTTTTCTTCATCTATGAAACTTGGTACTTCAGAATATTAACTTGATCAAACATGCTCACTTGAATCTAAAGCCTCCCTCTTTTTCTTGGTGTTCTTGATGCAATTACATAGATAAGGTGGTCAGCAACAAATCAAGTCAAGCATGTAGTTAAGAGGGACAAACACTTTGCAGCTTTCTTTTATCTGTGAACAGTGTAGCATGTCTTGTTTTGTCAATTCTTGCATCCACTTGAGGTACTCAAATACTATTGAGGGAAGGAAAGAACCAAGGCATGCATCATATCAAGGGACATGGCAAAAAGCATGACTTAATACCAAGCTTATGTGGCTACAAATCCTTGATGTTAACTCTATATCGAGATATCAAGAGGAAGAAGTCAGTTTGATGCAGTGTAGCACATTGAAGATGGAGATGTGTTCTTGAGTGCCACTGAACAGTAGATTCTATCAAAACATGAACTTAACTGCTACCTGTACTTGACAGAGGAGGAGGCAAGCAGAATTAATCATGTTATATATCATGACAAGACCTATATATCACATCCATCATCTCAATCATCACATGTGCTCCAGATGAAGGATCCAAAATGTCCAATCTATGTGATATTACATGGGTGATCTCATACAAAAGTTTTGAGCAAAGCTTGGGCACCTGGGAACAGCTGCTCATGAACATAAAGAAAACTATCAAAGGAATCATTAGAAGGACATGGTTGTAATGCTTGTCTTTTATGCTCATAGAATATACACTTGTGTAGCTGGAGATGTCTGCTGCTACTTCAAAAAAAATGGCAACCATTTAATTCAAAATTAAGTTCTCTCAAAAGATCATAATTAATTTGCAGAAGATTCACATGACATTTTTGGAGGTATTTTCTGCATTTTTCAGAGAGCATCAATGTTGGTAATAGAACTAAATCCATGTCATTTCCATCATTAGACAATGTTAGGGATGATTGAGATACATTAGTTTGTGATTAGATGGTTATAAGAATCCTTGTAGAGTCCATTAAAATGCCTCAAAGATGAACAAGACCAAACTGATGGTAGATACACTTGGAAGGACAAAGATCACACACACTGAATCCATGTCTAGTAGGGGTAATCTTTATGTTGTTCCTATCAACAATACAATCTGATCCAATTTTGACGTTTTGGGGAGACTAAATTGACCAATTTCGATGAATCTAGATGAGACATTGACATCTTCTTCGGTCTTACCTCACTCATCACATTTGGATTCTCCCTTATCTCAACTTCAGAACAGCAGCAAAGACCCAAATGTCAAGGAGATCTAAGCTCCACATTCCATGTGACCGTGAATCGATCCGACAGTCTACGATAAATGTGCGATAGTCGATCGATGATTGATGCTTTCGGATCACCATAACTGTAGCAGACGTTTGGAACTTTGCTCATTATGCTGCATCTTCCTGAGTCGTCCATGTCAAATGTACGTTGCGCAAACGACAATTCGGGTCCTGTGAATGAAGGACTCATGCTGATATTTTGGAGCAACGCATGCATGTGCTTGGAAACAGCATTCGGACATGGTAATTGATCACCACAAGCCATGGTTAAAGGATCATAGCAATCTGATCTAGCAAACACTATTTCTTACTCTCTACTTTTTATTTGTTGACATCATAGATCAGTAGATGCTATATATTGTCAATCTTTCATCAAACAGTTTTCAGGATCGATCTTTGCTTTGCTAAATGATCGTTATAAGCTATCATAATGTGTGTCTAATATGAGGAAAAGTAGCTCTTATCTATAATCATCTACCACAATGGTATCATATGATAGGAATACATCCTTTGGAATCTATTGATGTTCTCCATGATCTTCTCTTGAAGGGATTAGCAATTCATTCACCTTCATCTCTCTCCATTAGAATAGTTCCTTGCCACCGCCCACATGATGTCGAGCTACAGAAAGAGAGAGAATGAAAAGCAAGGAAGAAGGATACTCTCACCCACTACTCGTTGATCCAATCATGGCCCCCTCAAATCTCCCTCAAGACCATCTTCTCAGAAGGGGCAGCAGTGTGCTGCCCCCACCCACACACCATCGTCTTTTGATTGTATCCCAGCTATTACAAAAGAGATCCGAGAAACAGGCGGAGAGAAGAAAGATAAGGAGAGCTTCCCTTTCATATCATAAGCTCGCCGTCAGCTTTGCTCCTCGGATCGTCGCTTGTGTCCATCTCCGTCTCCCTCGTCCTATGTGCGGAGTCCTCCTCCTCTTCGCGCTTCATTGATCGCCAATGTCGGCCCAAGTTCTGCCCGAGCACATTTGCTATGTCCACTGCAACTTCTGCAACACCGTCCTTGCGGTATCCATCATCCTGAATTCCCCTTTATTTTCTCCTCTCCTCTCCTCTCCTCTGTCTCATCTCAGTTTGTTCCCGTGAATTTTCTTGATTCGATCCAAGTTCTGATCATATCGAGAAAATTAGTTTAGCTAAGCTACAAAAGCTTGAATCCAGAGCTTAAGGAAGTTTGCAGAATGGGTTGAGTTCTAAGTAATTCTTGATGTTAGCTGCGGGACGAGAGGAAGAAGAAGAAGAAGAAGAAGAAGAAGAAGAAGAAGAAGAAGAAGAGGCTTGATATTGTTATGGAATAGGTTTAGAATGTTACATTTCTAATCGGATGATGTGACAAAATCTCATATCATGTCAAGATGATATCTTGCATGGACACATCATGTCTTTGACAGGTGAATGACATATAATATATTTCAATATCCTACCTTTGCTGCGTATTGAAGAGTTTCAGGTGGAGTATAGGTTATAGGTTGATGCTTCAGACTAAAATAGGTATACCTTTTGACCTCTTTGGATCCACTGAGAATCCATCGAGTGTCCTTAAAGATCTATTGCATGCCTTCCCTTCTAAATTTTCTATGTTGTTCGTGTTTTGTTGTTGTGTCTTTCTTGTGTGGTCAAAATCACTTTTTGGTTACATAAAAGATGTGATAAAGTTCCTCTCTTTTTTTGGCTCTACAAAGCAACATCAAATTCCTTTTGAATCAAGATGTGATCAGTCACTCTTCCAGTGAGCTCCTTGCAATGAGCAGATCTCGACAACTGTTTGTTCTTCTTTGTTCAGAAAAGAGAGAATCCAACTTCTGATGGTCAAGATCCTCTTTTCCTTGGAGATTTAGAACATAGGAGATTCCATCTCATTCAAGATTTTGAGACCACACTAAACGGCATGGGGAGTGGGGTTTTACGGCCAAATCTTTTTGGTCCTTTTTTCCTGGCTGGGTAATAATGGTGGCTTCAAAGCGGAAGAGATGAAAGATGAGATGAGTCTTCGAAAAAGAAAATGATGCTCTTCACAGGTTCTTTTTCTTTGCTTCTTCATTAGACCTATTCTGACTCCTCTGAACCCTAATTCTAGCAGGGAGAGTGCACCCTTGTTTCCGCCCGAGAGAAGGTCCAAAAGTCCTCCAGGTATACGGAGCTCCTACAAACCTACAGATCTAAAGAACAACACAAAAGCGAGATTCCTAAAAGTAAACCCATCCTTGTCGAAGATACGAAGAGACCCATCATCTTTTGTTGCTAATCTTGTTTCACCACTTTGCCTTTACTGTGTCCTTTCTTCCTTTTCCTTCCTCCTCCTCCTCTTCTTCTTGTCGACTAACCTTCTTTTCATCCTGCAAATACTTTGTTTCTCCTGTGCACGCTGTTATGTTAGATTTGGTTAAAAATGGCTCATTTTTCTGATAAGACGAGCATCAATGCATCAAGAACGAGGTCATACAGAATGTTTTGGGTCATCAATCATGATATTTTCTGCTACTGCAGCTGCATGAAGTAGCATTCTTGAGATCAACTTACTATTAGTTTTGATCGTCTTTGATGATTCAGGTTAGTGTCCCTGGCAACAGCTTGCTCAACATAGTCACGGTGAGATGTGGGCACTGTTCTAATCTTCTGTCCGTCAACATGGGAGCTTTGCTTCAAGCACTTCCTTTTCAGAGTCTTCAGGTCTGGATGTTCCTTCCTATCCTGTGATTTCTGGAGGTGTTTGATCTACTTATTTGTTGGTGAATGTTTAAGGCGCCAAGGTTCCGACATAACCATTCTTTTTCTTGATCTATTGCATTGCGATTTCTGGTGGCTGAAATAGAACAAGCATGATACTTAGATGTTCAAATCACTAAAACTATCAGAATTAGATGGAAGTTCTTAGGTTCGCTAATATGAAATCGATTGTTCTTTTTGCTTGAATCCAGCAGAAGCTTATTATAGTGAAGAGGTTAACATGTGATGCATACATATATATATTGTGTACATAAAGTAGGAAAATGACCTTCTTCATTTCTGATGAAAACATACCATAATGAAGTGAAAGCATGCTCGAAGGGAGAGCAAACTTCCAATGTCAATCAACTACATTGTTTTTCTCCTTGTAAAGGCAATTATTTTTGAGTTTTCAAGCACTTCTTACACTTGAATCCAAAGCAAAAGTAGAATCTAACAATATCATCATCTGCTAATTTGGTGGGAGAGGAAATTGCAGACTCGCAGCATATGTTCTCAAGGAAATGGAGTGGAATGTGGATCACCTTCCAAGTGCAAAAGGACTTCATTGTTGTGCACAATGCCGAAGGATCAAGAACAAACGCTACCGATGCATCGTAAGCCTCTAAAACTCTCCAAATTACTCTCTTCTAGTATGTCGAAAGAATTGCAAGGAATTCTCAAGCGAACATCTCATGCAACAAAGGTTGGAGGCTTCATACTAATATGTATTTTTTAGCTAATTGAAGACCAACTACATTATGCTAACCTCACATAATAAGTCATCATGGCCCATTGCTTCCTACTTTTGTTCTTGGTGGTTGGTTTCATCTCTCTTTGATTAGAACATGGTGGTTAGCTTGATAAGGGCTAAGTTGACCAAGAACCAGTTGTGATCAGGCTATTAATCTGGTTTCTTTTATGCAAAACCAGCTCCAGAGAAGAGACACCGCGCGCCTTCTGCATATAACAGGTTTATCAAGTGAGTTTTGATCTGTTGTGCTTCACTAGTTTGAGCAAAATTTTATTGCAACATTTCTGCAGGACACTTATAATGGAAAATTTAAGCTAAATAAACATTGTTAGTATTTACTTTGCAAGTATTTAACTCCATGTTCAGGGAAGAAATACAAAGGATAAAGGCTAACAATCCAGACATCAGCCACAGAGAAGCATTCAGCACTGCAGCAAAGAATGTAAGTGTTCCATAACGTTGCAAAAGATGAAAAGGAAAGCTAAATGATATACTAAGATGAACTGTAGAATGAGCAGTATATCTTTGTCAATAAACATAGATTCTTTGGATCTCTAGTCCATTGCAACCTTCCTAAACAAACAATAGCAGTATCTTTCCTTCAGCCTCTCAGTGATTGGCTCTGGCTTACAGGAACTACTCCTCTTCTCTCTCTCTCTCTC